CTGAATCTCCTCAATGAACAGTTCTCTGCGGATCCGAGACCTGCGAGACACAAGCGGAGCGGCGCCGTGAGCAGGGAGCGGCCGTGCGCGCGCTCGGAGTCGCGGGGGACCCCTCCCCAGCCAGGCAGGGCGCCCCGCCCCCGGCGTCACCCCCCACGCCAGGCCCGGGCCTCGCCCCCGCCACCTCCCAAACCCAGTGCCTTTGCCCGAGTCGCCCCTCGGGGCCGGTGCCAGGCCCCTCTTTTCAGGGAGGATGGCGCGCCAGGGTTACTTGTTCAATGGCACTTTTCCTGCATCTCCTGTCCCACCCCACCTCCAATCGCGCTGTGAATGGCGCGGCCCACCCTTCGCGCACCCCAGGCCCGGCATGGTGCTTGGTATACGGTCTTAAATGAGGACTGAACTAACAAATGGAAATGCAGAATGGATGGTAGCCACGGCTTCCTCACCGGGACTTTGGGTAGTCGCCCAAAGTGTCTGAGCCACAGGTCAGGGGTCAAGGCCCCGGGCAGGGTTCTCCCAGATTATGTTTCAACCAATTCCCTCCTTTAAGAGGAGACCAGGGAAGGGTCACTTTTGAACAAGCAGGAAGGAGACCAGACACGCGCTCCAACACAGCAAGCGTGTTATAATCAAGCTCCCATACTTTGCTGGGTGTGAAGGGAACAGCTGCACACGGGCCCTGGCCGTCCCTGGTTTGGGACGTCATGAAATGGCTCTTGTTAAGTCTGCTTTGTGCCTGCGTTTCTCCTTCATCTTGCCCACTGTACTAGGCTCGATGAGAAGTCTCTCTAGGTGGTTCCAAAGAGCTGAAAAAGCCTCTGATTAATGTGCCAACTGTTAGTGGAAAAGCATCCTCAGGTCAAGTTAGCACTAAGCCCACTGTCTTGCAGAAAGAAACCGGGCCTTGGGCTAGGCATGCATAAAAATATTTTCTGCAGTACATAGACCCCAGTGAAGGTAACCTGTTTTGAGAGTCCACTATATGCCAGGTCTTGTGTTGGAGGAGGGCAGCGTTGAAGCCACCGGGAATCTGGCTGTAGTTTAGTCCAGTGTATCAGAACCCTGATGGCACTGATGTGTCAACACTTATTTGCTCCCTGCGGAGGACTCTTGTCCAGAGGATGGTTTCTGAGCCAGAGCTTCAGGGTGAGGTCCTAAAGCACCCCCCCTCCCGAAGTTCTCAGGGGTAACAGAAGACTTTCCTCCCTCTCTGGGCTCCCATGGGAGCCTATGAAGTGGGAGCCCCTGCCGTCAGGTTCCTGGATGCTGTGCGAGGGCAGGCCTGTCTGCTGCCTTTCAGGCCCCTTGGCAGCCAAGAATGCCAGCTGGGGTGAACACCTAATCCCATCCCACCCTGGCTGGGGAGGTGGGAGGCCAGACAGGCAGACCTGTGGGTTGTAACTCTGAGCCCCAGGGGTAGACTCGCCCCAGAACGGAGCACAGGCTCTGTGGAACCAGGCAAACCTGGGTTTGTAAACTTACTAGCTCTGCAACATGGCAAAAATTCCTGAACCTTTTGGAGCCTCTCCGTATGATCTGAAAATCATGGAGAATAGTTTCTTCCTTGCAGAGATGTTAGGAATAAAATATTAACGCATAATATGGGACACAAAGTAGACCCAGAAAAAAGGGGCACTGTTCTGACCATCCAGCTGCCTTTCGAATGCCACAATCCCCGTTGTAAGTGCTAAGGCTGAGGTCAAGGGGCTGCGGGGCGGGAAGGGACAGCTTAGTGGCCAGCCTGTGGCCTGGGATCCTGGCTGCCCCCCTCTGCAGCTGGGTGAACCCGTGTAACCTCTATCTGGAAAATGGGGCCGGTAGCACCGCACTCCGCTGCCGATCAGAGGATCTGATGAGACAACACACATGATGCTCCCGGCTCGGTGCCTGGCACACATTCTATGCTCAGGCGACAGGAGACATCATCTTTCCTCGCCTAGATTTGTCTCTGCGTCTGTGAGGAATATCCTCTTCTGAGCTAGAAACACCAGGTCCCGGGAGCAGAGAGCCATGTAAGGCGAGGTTTGCAGGGCGCCACGGTATTTAGGGTTCAGAAGAGTTTCTACTGGGTGGACCTGTTCTTCTGGGAGAAGACCAGGTGTCCTGTGACACCCTGTTCTGGCATTCCTGGCCCTGTGCCCGGGTAAATGGTCACCCTAAGATACTTCTAATTCCTTGAGGGTGAAATGGTAAGAGGAAGCAAAGTTTTACTCTTTTGATGGGGGTGAAAATCGATCTCCAACCCCCCCGCCCCACCACTATTCCCTGTGGGTTCCCGTGGGCAGGAGAAAACAAAAGTCAACTTCTCCTGTTTAATTAACTCCTGCAGAATATGAGAGACATCTTCTCCCTTAGGAGCTCAGTGTGTGTGTCAGGGGCCTGGGTGGCTCAGTCTGTTAAGTGTCTGACTCTTCGTTTCCGCTCAGGTCATGATCTCCTGGTTTGTGGGTTCGAGCCCTGTGTCCGGCTCTGTGCTGATACTGTGGAGCCTGCTTGGGATTCTCTCTCCCTGCCCCTCCCCTGCGTGCTCTCTCTCTCTCTCTCAAAATAAATCAGCATTTTAAGAAAAAAGGAAAGGAACTCTGTGCATGTGTGCTAAGTGCTGCTGTGTGCCAGTTCTTGTAAGAAGCTCTGGGGTCTACTGGGCTGGTCTCTGCTGGAAGCATCTCGTTGGAAGAGCTAAAAGCCATGGAGGGGGTGTGCTCTCCGTCTGAATCTCTGCTCTGCACTTTGCCTCCCGGGTGACCCAAGTGACCTCAGTTCTTGGGGCTTTATGCCAATTCTGAATGACCTAGCGTTCACTTCTCATCTGATCTATTTTGTGGCTTATAAAATTCTTCTCAGTTCTTTTGTCAAGACCCTGCACATCTCCTACCGCTTGCAGAAGATCTTTCCAGATCTCGGCAGCTGAAGCGAATCTGTGCCCTAGGTTCTTCCGTTTGTCAGCCTGGCCAAGCTCTGTTATGGTTATTTTTGCAAGAAAACATTTACTGAGCATCCACTCTAGATATGCATCTGAGCTCATTTCCTAAGTTTTGAGGTTCTCTTCCTCCTCCTCCTCTCTCCCCCTTCTGTCTTTACTTTTGTGGTGTACGGTTGACCTCGGTCCTGTTAAACGCACACGTGGGGCGTCTCCACAGTGAGCAGCTGACCACCTGTACTGTGATGGGCGTTACACAGTTGTCAGGAAGGCGAGTGACCAAAGCTAAGAAACCGGGCGAGAGCGTGCCCCGGCCAGGAGGCAGTGACTGTCGTTCAGCTGAGACCCGTAGGGGAGGGTCTAGGGAACGAGGTGACCCCAGCAGGGCCAGGGGAAATGTTTTGGAGGTGTTTTGGGTAACAGGTGGCAACCCGACCCAGATAACTCCGCCGTCTCCAGGGTTCCCGTGCTTGCACTGAAGTGGACGTCGCTTGGGGCGCCTGGGTGGCTCAGTCAGTTAAGCATCCGACTCTGGCTCAGGTCATGATCTCCAGCTTTGTGAGTTCAAACCCCTCAGAGCCTGGGGCCTGCTTTGGATTCTGTGTCGCCCTCTCTCTCTCTCTCTCTCTGCCCCCACCCCCCCATGCTCTGTGTGTCCCTCTCTCAAAAATAAATATTAAAAAAAAAGAGCGAACATAGTTGCAGAAGACCCAAAACAACACATTCCAATGCACCTTTGTGTCTAGAAAGTAAAAATGGGATTGCATGACACCTGGCGGGGAGAGGCTCCGGTGATCCTCTGCCCAGGATTCCGTTCCTTCGCCTTCATTTCACTTGTTTCCCGCTCTCAGAGCTTCCGTCCAGGTGGAGGGAGCTCCACCATTGCAACTGCTAGCCTCGCTCTGCCTCTGTTCTTATCTCATCTGTAGGTTGAGGATGAATAAGCTGGCTGTGCTCAGTTCGTGTACTGTCTTTGTCCTCGAGGGAGCCAGGCCGCGCCCGGGAGGCCGGCTGGGGACAGTGCTGCCATCGTGGCTCCCCTCGCCTGGTTCCAGGGGTCAGGCAGCAGGTCTGTCTGGCTCTCACACTAAGCTACAAATGCTTACTTAGCTTTCACCGGCAATAAAGGTACTGTTTTGGGTCCCATCTAATATTTTCAAAGTCCCCACCTTGTTTAGCACCTGGTGGGAGGGGGGGTGGTTACCAGGGCGGCTTGGGAAGCTGCAGCAGAACCTAACAGGTAAGGCAGGGCCCAGTCCGAGACACCAGTCCCCGTGGTCCCCGGCTGCCTGGGATATACTCTGTTGCCCGACACCTGTCTCAGGTGAGTAACCATGAGGGCTCCGCCCGCACTGGCCACCTGCGTGTGCTTGTCCCCTGGGTGGAACCAGGAGCCCCCGACTCAGTTTTGTTGGGCCCTAGAGAAAATGATGTTCTCATGACAACCAGCAGTTTGAGACAGTCACTTCAGGGCATTAAACAAGCAGGGATTTCCATCAGGCCACCGGGAAGTCCCGGTTTCTAGCGGCAGGAAGTCTTGGTTGCAGCTACGATCGACAATTCATTGTATGTGGGTGTCATGACCTAATCCAAACATTTTACCCCAGTCGGCTTCATTCTACGGGAGAGCACTAGGCCCTAAGCTGACACGCCTAGGTCAGGTATTTAGTCTGAGTGAGTTTTATGTCTTTCCTCTGTAAAATGCAGGTAAGGGGCACCTGAGTGGCTCAGTCGGTTAAGCGTCCCACTCGATTTCGGCTCAGGGCTTGATCTTCTGGTTCGTGGGATGGAGCCCCATGCTGGGCTCTGCAATGACGACGTGCAGCTTGTTTGGGATTCTCTCTCCTCTCTCTCTCTGCCTCTCCCCTCCTCGTGCACTCTCTCTCTCAAAATAATTTATTATTTTTTTTTTCCACGTTTATTTATTTTTGGGACAGAGAGAGACAGAGCATGAACGGGGGAGGGGCAGAGAGAGAGGGAGACACAGAATCGGAAACAGGCTCCAGGCTCCGAGCCATCAGCCCAGAGCCCGACGCGGGGCTCGAACTCACGGACCGCGAGATCGTGACCTGGCTGAAGTCGGACGCTTAACCGACTGCGCCACCCAGGCGCCCCTCTCTCTCAAAATAAATACTTGGCTCAGTGTCTGGAGATCTGGTAGGTGCTTAATAAATCTCATTAATTTGACTGGATTTAGTTCATTTCGAAACAAATCAGGCTGATTTGGAAGACAGTGCTGTAAAAGAACCTTTGGGTCTGCACTAAGACATGCTCGCTGCTATGGAACCGCGGCCGCCTATGCTCTCCCTCACTAAGTGATCTTGTTTTCCTGGCACAGCAGACAGACGTGGATTGTCCCTAATGACGTGATCCTCCACCTTGGGAGCTAAAAACTCCAACGAAACATAAAAAGCCAAACTAACCGACCCGGCACCAGGCTTTCAGTCCCCAGCCCGCCAGGGCCAAGTCCCCAGAACGTCAGCCCGCTGCGCCGTTCGTGGCCCTTCCCTGCGGGACAGACGGGCCGCCTCCCAAGGGCCGGCGGCGCATTGGAGCCCGGACTGATGGCGCCGAGGGCCGGACCAAGCCGGGACGTACCTGTAATTGTGGAACCAGTTGATGACGGTGCTGGTTTTCAAGTTGAGCTGGGTGGCGAGTTCCTCGATGGTTTTTGGTGACGGGTATGGCTTTTGCTGATACGCTCGCTTCAGAGCTTCTTTCTCTTCAGGAGCCAGCACCACGCGGGGTTTCTTCAGCTGGTGCTGGGGCTGCGGGCTGGCGCCCTGGCTGTAGTCGATGCCAACGGAGGGGGGCTCGCAGGGCTGGCTGTCGCTGACCGAGCTGTGCCGCCGCTTCATGTAGGCTGAGGGAGGGAGAGAAGGCGGATTGGGGTGCAGGCCCAGCCGGGAGATGAGCCCGGGCCCCTGACCCCCAAGAGCGCCACGGGGCGCTGCCGGCTCACACTCGTGTGTACGTCGTGGCAGCCGGCCGTTCGGCCCTGCTCTTCCAAGAGCGTCTCGGAACCCCTGGGCCAGAACCGTTCTGAAACCCAGCCCACGTTCGCCAAGCGCCTGCTCTGTGGGCACACGACGTCGCCGGCTGGCCCTGCCTGGCGGCTCAGCGGGGGACGCGGGGAAGCGTACCGGCGACCCCGGGGGAAGCGCGGTGAGGGAGATACCAAGGGAGGGAGGTACCCAGCTCAGCCCGGGCAGGGGTCAAGGGAGGCTTCCCTGGAGAGACGGTGTTTAAGCTGGAACTTGAAGGCCAAGGGTGATTAACCAGAAAAAGAGAGGATGAGGTAGGAGGTGGTAGGAGACTGTCCTGGAAAGTGGGACCGGCAGGTGTAAAAAAGAGGGCACAAGGGCACGAGACAGCACAATTCCAGAGTGTGTATGTGTGTGAGCGTGCGCGTGCCCGCGTGCGCGTGGGGTGTGGAGGGGGAGGGAGGAGCCGGAGAGACGGGCGGTGTCGGGGTAGGCTGGAAGTTTGGACTTTACCTCAGAGGCAGAGGGAAGGGACGAAAAGGTTTTTGTCGGGAATGGTCTGATCAGCTGCATGCGTTTTGGAAAGGCTGTTCTGGCTGCAGTTTGGAGGATGGAGCGGATGGCAGGGCTGGCAGGAAGGTGCTCCGTTAGGAGGTAAGAATGAAAAAGATCTGAACTGGGGCAGTGGCGGTGGGGCTGGAGAAAAGTCCAGAGGGTGTGGAGATGGTAAGGGCCAGAGCTGACAGGACGGTGGGGGGGGGGGGGGGGCGCGGACTGACGCAGGAGGGGCTGAGGAGGGCGGAG